TTAAAATTAGCACTTCCGATAGATTTTTGGTAAAAACAGGAAGTGTAGCATTTCTCCACATTGGTAGGTCCAATTGACACCAAGCTTGGAACCATAATTCCTCGTCTTTCCTTAGGCATCGTGCACAATTTCAGGCCATCACCACGAAGGTGGCGCTCTTTTAAAAAGAAGTTTATATCTCCGCATCAGCAGGTGTGATACTATGAAGACTTGGTACGATGATTGCCCATGGCTCCCTGAGGCTCGCATAAAAAATGTGTTAATCTGCCACTAGTGGCGCTCTGCTGGCATGGTAAATCACTGTGCAGAGACCGTAATAGTTATGAAGACTGAAACTTCACAGGGCACGTGTAGATGGTGCCTGAAGCTCACATACCAAAAATTCGTGTTTGTCGTGTACTGTAGTGCCCCTACAGGATAAAACAGCCCCGGCGCACGTTTCACCCGATATGTACGAAACTCGGTAGGCACGTGTGAACCTGCCGAGACGTACAAAAAAGCCTCTTGGAACACTACCGCAAAACCCACGGGAAGTGCGCCATTTTGATTTCATTTTCACTTTCGGCACAACTTTCGCCTTGTATTGTAACGAACTCCTCCTAGGGAATTCATCGGATCGCTTCAAAATTCGTCAGTACAGTCAAAAAATGCTGCGTGATTAAAAAGTTGTGCACTATTTGTGCAATGTACAGTTAAAGGGGTGTCCGTCGGCATGGTAATCAAGTCAAGCCATTTTGACTTTTTTCTGTCATTTTATATGTGATTTTTTGTGATTGTATTTGAACGAAATTATAATCGATCTGTATCAAAAATTGGTCAGAGATAGGAAAGTGTTGCTGATTAAAAGTTGGTGCTATTTGTGCACGTAACGTTGAAGGGCGTGTCCGTGGCGTGCGTTAGAAGTTGGCCAGGTGATGAATCGAATCTCAAAACTCGGCTACTCTAGTGGAGTCCCAGAATAAGAATTGCCTGTGTCACCTGGTTATACTCTGATTTTGCTGTTGGACAGTATGAGTCAAAGTAACTTTGCATTAACTGCCTACATTTGTACTTGAAGCGTTTTCTGTTTCTCCTCTGCAGCCTTCGGCAGGTCCATCTAAGAAAGGCAAACCGTCCTCTGCAGCCAGTGGAAAAGCCAAGAAGACCTCTGAGAGCAAAGACTTCACAGAGAGTGAACTGTCTGTAAGTCTGCGTGCATACATTTATCTTTCAGCGGACGCTTTCGTCAAAACGTATACATAATGATACACATGCAGTAGAAGGCCTAGTCTTTTTGGACTTTTGTGACTCCTGACAATGTTGTATGTGTTTTATAGATAAAGCTACAGACTAGCTGCTGCATAGTTCTGTGTAACAGGTGTGTGAAGAGAGGTCACTGTTTATTAGTGATATGAGAAGCTCAATCTATTTTTTCTATTTTTATATGTATGTGTGTCTGTCTATCTACACATCTATCTACACACATGATTGAGAGAGATACTTTTCTTGTCATAGAATCTGACTTCTTAATGGGTGTGCTGTTAAAACTTTGGTCTGAATCCACAAGGTTTCTGGTTTTAGGTTGAGTTTTAACCCATAGGGAATATAGACCCCCTTTTACAGCTAACATTTTGACTGGTCAAAGTAGGAAACGCAGAGGTGGAGTTAATGACATTAACGGTCGCTGAGTTCCATTAATTCCTGTCATGTATATTGTCTAGTATAGTTTAAAATAGGAACAACCTTTTATATAGGACTATGCATGATTGGCTCCAACTCAACTGGCTAGCTCATGTGTGTATTGGTGTATGAGTGATATTGGGTGATGGGTATGGCTATTTTATTTTTAATTTCTGATTACTTAAAGTAAATGTGTATATATATAT